ATATCCAAGGCTGGCCATAGATGTTCACATTTACTGTCCATTCACAGGTTATGATGAGTAGTAGTATGTGTATCTAGCTCATTACTTTTCAGCTATAAAATGACACTGAACTCTTAAGACTACCATTACAACAACTAAGTGTGGAAAAATAAGACTTCATGTTATTAGATCATTTTAAGATGTCAGATTTACTGTGCTAGAACTGTTTGGGAATTATAAAGCATGATTAATTTTATAATCTCACAATAACTTCCTGATGATTTTAAGCACAGTATTTGGTCAATTAAAAACTCCCAAACTAAGTATATGCAAAATACAGTGAATGATAAATACACAAGCAAAATGTTCTTAATATAAGAAGTATTTTTCAGAGAATCCGACTAGGAACTTCCAGCTTATAGACTCTGAACATCTCCTCCTCTATGTAAGCAATCTGATACGGTGGAATACTTTCTCCCCCACCATGTCTCCCACATATCCAGTGGAGCAGCAAGAGGAGGAGGGACAATAGGACAGGAGTATAAATTTTTGCCTTCGCACAAGTGCAATACACAGACCAGTAGCTAGAAGCAGGAACACACATAGACACAGACATACAGACACGTGTCACTAATCAGGCGAACCAGTGGCTCTAGAGGGATGCTCTCTGGCCTTCACGACAGCGACTGTGCTGCTTGCTTCTCTCCAGAACGTTTGGATGTTGGACCAGACTTACCACACACAGAAAAAGAAATCTCTCTGCAACGTCTCTGGCATGAGACATCACTTAGAAAATGTATGTTGCATCCCAGCTGGAGTCGAGTACCATCTGTGTACAGTTCATGGCTCCCAGCTACGTGAAAACAAGCAGCGTAGTAGCCTCTCCAGTCTCAGCCTAGCTGTCAGATGTATTTGAATTGAAGGGCTGGCCCAGATGTATTCATCCTCTTGCTCTCCCTTCATCCTAGCTAGGTACTTAATTATTTGCAACCGTTTGGATACCCAAACCCAACTGTTGTCATATGATTTTTTTTTTTTTAATTTTATTTTTTACTTTTCCACAATGTGGAAATTTGCCTCGTTCTCCACAGGAGAGGCTCGTTTAGCTCCTTTTCAAGTAATGAATTCCTTCCTGGAATTTGTTGATTGCTACCCCTGAATTGGTACAATACTGTATTTGTCAGAGTTTGCCTTCAGGGAAGTTGTTTAAAGTCATATTTGGCCTTATTATCCACTTACTCTTTTGTCACTTTCAGCAGTAATTTTTTCATTGCGTTGTTTTTTCCCAGATGTATTCACCTTGGAGTTTTCATTTCCCTGCTGCTTTCCCTTTTGCCACTTAAAGCGGGAAAAATGGGAAAAATTTAAACCAGTTCTACCGTACATGTCTCTACTTAGGCAAAAATCACGACCCCTAGAGTGGAAAGCCCCTAAAGAGCTGTATGTAAGAACCCTTATCCCATTTAGTGACATCCCATGCTGTATGCACTGATCCAGTGGTTTCTGCCCTTTGGAGTAGAAGTTATATGGCTTAACGGTTGACTCCAAAAGCAGGCATCTAAATGTAAAACTATCAGTCTGACAGACTCTTTTTTTTTAGATCAGGCAATTTAAACCCACTTTTACACAGCTAATGCACTGAAATGCCTTGACAGGGCTGAACCGCGCAGTACCTTGGTCACACATCTAAGTTTGATCATTGTCCAGGGATGAGATACCTGCCCGTGTTCATGTTTTCTATTGCCGGGGATCCTCAGAATACGTCTCTGCACAAAATGCAGTGACAGCCACAATTTATCTCTGTCCACTTCCTACGAAGTGTTTTAATTGCCAGTCTGTAAGCCAGTTTTGGCAATTTGTCCACTGTCATTATGAAATGGTATAGAAAAGGATGCAAGATTCACAGGACCAGAGAAAGTAAATGCTTCGGCAGCCTCTCAGGGCATTTGCCCAAAACGGGGACTTCTGGATTCCAGTCCCTGCTCCTCGTACTGGGTTTTGTCATGCGGTTTCCAAGTGCAATGGCATATTATTCTCTTTACAAGCTATGTTATCGCTGGCAAGAAGCATAATGTGATAGCAACTACCACAGCAGCTCAAGTCTCTCTGAATCCAGACTGCCATTATCCTGCTCTTCATCTCTGCTTCAGGCAATGTATTTCCACTCCCTCTCCTATGCTGTCCCCAGCACTTTTGTAACTGGGAGCTGTTTCGGTTGAATCACATACGTGTGTGATTCCCCCCCCCGTGTTAATTCCTAACTGAGCCATCTCACCCCCCCTGTCACAGATGTGCTACTGGCCATGAAAGGTGTGCATGAGAATGCACAGCTCCCAGGAGCAACATCTTATATACATCCCTATACTCAGTACTGCCTGGTTAACTAGTTTAGCTAGTTTGCCGATTTAAAACAGATCTCATGCAATTCTCTGCATGGATCCATTAAGAGAGCCTAGGTGACTAACTTCAGGCTCAGTATTTTACTGCAGAGATTTGGATACTTGAAAGCTTATTTTTACAGCACTACACTCTTTTGAATCTAGGTTGTAGCTTCTGAATCAGGGTTAGAGTGAGTTAGAGTTCATTGTTTAAAACCAGAACTTAAACCTCAGGCAAATCACTTAAACCCACTTAACAGAAACAGTTATGAAAAAATCATGGCTTATGGGTATGGCTGCTTAAAAAGGAGAAGGATTATAAATTTGTTGTCAGAAGAAAACTGTAAATGAAAAGTTATTTGCAATGGATAGCTATGAAATGGGAACTGAAAAAATTCCTGTGCAGTGATATTCACTTTATTTCATTTATTTTTAAATTAAGGTGGACCTGTAAATAGGTAACTTAGCTCAGTGTACTTTTTAAAAAAGCCCAGGAGTAATAGTTTATTTGCTTACATTGAATAAACAGAAACACATTACTAAAACACATGTAATATGTTGCTGTTTCTATGAATGTTTATATATATAAAATTAGGTATTTTCTATTAAAATTTTCAAGTGGGTGCTAATATTTTTATGGAACGCTCCTAGCTAACAATAATGTTCCTCTGTGGGAGGAATTTATAAGTCAAGCTAGTGGTAAAAATCAGCATTACCCATTCAAGATTAAAGCACACCCCCATGTATTTAATTGCGTGTGTAAGAAAAAGAACATAATATATCTAAGGGCACCATCTGCCAACAAGTTCAGGGTGCCAAATGCTTTCATGGATTTTCAGATATAGGGAAAAATACTCTATGTTCAAACCTTACATATATTAGAAAACATTTCATATAGTTTTGGCTTGATTTTAAGGGGAGTTCAGACTTTGTATTGCTACAAATTAGTTTTGTTTCAGATTCATTTTTGAATAGTGAACTTCTGGTCTGATTGTTTTCCTTCTGCAGGTATTAGTCTGAAGTTCTTTTGCTAGAAACTGTCTTGAAAGTGTCCTCAGTGGGACAAGAGAGCAAGACACATCATTATGTAAAGAATATGACGCAATGTCAAATCAAAGTGAAAAATCCCTCTATCATTTTTTCCCCATTTTATTTCAATGCATCCTGTCCTGGTTTCAGCTGGGATAGAGTTAATTTTCCTCCTAGTAGCTGGTACAGTGCTGTGTTTTGGATTTAGGATGAGAATAATGTTGATAACACACCAATGTTTTACGTCATGCTAAGTAGTGCTTACTCTAGTCAAGCACTTTTCAGCTTCTCATGCCCTGCCAGCGAGAAGCTGGGAGGGGGCACAGCCAGGACAGCTGACCCAAACTGGCCAAAGGGATATTCCATACCATGGGACGTCATGCTCAGTACATAAACTGGGGGGAGTTGGCCGGGGGGCGGTGACCGCTGCTTGGGAGCTGGCTGGGCATCGGTCGGTGGGTGGTGAGCAATTGCATTGTGCATCACTTGGTTTGTGTATTATTTTATCATCATCCTTATTATTATTATTTTCCCTTCCTTTTCTGTCCTATTAAATTGTCTTTATTTCAACCCACAAATTTTACTCCCCCCCCCTCCCCCCGATTCTCTCCCCATCCCACTGAGGGAGGCAGGTAGCGAGCCATCGGCTGTGTGGTGTTTAGCTGCCTGCCAGGTTAAACCACAACATGTGTGGTGTAGCTGCCTGCCAGGTTAAACCACAACACATCCTTATCCTGATATTTAGGTGGAAAAGAAGAGATCAAATAACTACAGAAACCAGGCAGTATGACCAACAATCTGCTGCAAGTCAGTGTTAAATAGTGTTTCTTTTTCTTCAGGCTGATAACTTTCTATGTCATACAACACAAGAATCTGCAGTGGAAGTAATTTATATTGACTTACTGCCAAAATGTACAAGGAGGGAAACTGCCAGTGTGATCTTAAATGTCAGAAGATTAGCAGGGAGCAGCTTGCGGTACAGGAATTTCTACTAGGAACTAGGAATTCGTCAGAGCTCAGACAAAAGTTAGTTAGTACCACAAAGCTGCCCAAAGCTGCAGGTTTAATAGTCACCATTTTATCACCATTTACAGCTGGTCTGGGCATCAGTGGGCAGTTCCTAAGCATCCACTGAATATCTTCTTATATTATTACAGGTTTCTTAACTGACAGAAGAGAACAAGAACTGTTTTTACAAAAAGCCTTAATTGACGCAACTTTTCACGTAATTTAGTTGCAGCATACAAATTTTCTCTGCTGCCAGGAATCTGGCGGATTTTGAATAAGGTTTTATTGTGCACAGCAACTGCTGCCTATCCGAGGGGTGCCTCTATAGCAGATGGCATGTCCGCTACCCTGCTTTGTTTTCACCTGTCTGTCCTTTCTCTTCCAGCTCTTTTATACAGAATTCTGTGGCAGAAAAGCAAAGCTAGCTAAAGAAATGGCCAAAAGAAGCAAAAAAGTCTATTTTTTTGTGATGGTGAGATGCTCTAATTCAAAGCACTTGTACATTCATGTTATGCAAAAAAAAGATTTTTTTTATGACAAAAGAATTTGAATGATATACACTGCAAAGAAAATTAGTTTCAAGTGCATTTATTTTGAAATAAACAAGAATATTATATGCATATATTCACATTTATATTAAATAACTTATTATTAAACATGAGAAAAAATACTCTTAAAAACTAATCTGACACTTTCACATTCTATTTTATATTAAGTGACTATAGTTAGGAAATACATAGAAAAATGATAAAATTGTCTCAAGCCAGCCATAAAAGCAAAGTGCACTATTGCCTAGGGCAGGGGAGGAGCAAAACGATGATGGTGCTGCTGCTTCCTCCACGGGGAGGATCACTGTGAGTGTGCAGTAGTGAATGAAGAGGAAGGACGGGAACCCCTTCAATAACTCCCTATCCTTTCTTCCCATTTTTTGTCCTTCATCACTGAAGTAGCAAATTGGGTTTTGCATATGCTGACAAGAAGCAGTGAGACAGTTCTCCGTACCAAGACGATACATTGAATACAATTAATTCCCTAAATGATCACACAGGGATTGCAGCTTATCCATGTTCTATTGTGCCTTTATCCTAATTTATTTGATTTTTCTTGTTGTCGGTAGTTTAAGGACGCGAAGGTGGAAATTTGCTAAGTATTTATCATGAAATATCGACTAACGTAGCATCCTTCAAAAGCTTTCTGAACTGGCTTTTTCTCAGATAAAAGCCACACCTAGCACATTTTTTTCCTAAGATTCCCAGAGTGGAATCTCTTAAAAAACATCTTCCTTTTCATTTTGTTTTGATTTTTAGCACAGATGAATCTTCTTATAAATTAAACATTTCTAAACTTCGGTGGACTTACAGAGATGTTATATATCTTTTCTATTCACATGCAATTGTAAGATGGTATTTGAGCAACACGTGCACTAAATACAATTTTGAGAAGTTTGCCTACAGGTATTTGGAGTAATAAAAGATTTAAAACCATTATTTTGGTTCTATTTTAGTTGTCAGACCACCAAATATTTGCCTTTCCGATAACGATTTATTGACATTAGTTTTAGTGTGTGTGTATTCAACTAGAAATATTTCAAGGCACAGATTGTTCCTAAATAGATACAGATTTATTTAATGTCCAGCGAACCTCTTCAAGAAGGATGTAAGAAATATGTGTTCGTGTTTGTTTGGGTTTAATTCACACCACCTAACAATCACCTTGAAAGGGAGTAAGGAAAAACGCTGCTACTGAATAGCAAAGAAAAAGTTTAGAGAATATGAAAACCAAATTCAACACCGTTTCTGTAACATCTAAACCTACAGGGCATGAAAGGTCATGGTGGCTACTGATTGCCTATAGTCTCCATAAACTTTGTAAGGCCTAAGTTATGTCTAATATTTGATGCATAATATTCAAATAATATTACTTAGTGAGTGTTGCTCTGTACTGCTGCATGCATTCATGTTTTGTTTTGGTTTTTTGTTTGACACAAACACAAGTTATTTATCTATTTTTCAGATACCGCATTCCAGAGTAGCAAATTAAACAACTGTAATTTCTACTCAGTGCCACATGTGACTTCATATAAAAGTACACTATTCACAAGGAGCACATGAAGTTTTACTCTACCAGAAATATATCAGTGAATTTATATGTATGGCAATAAAATTTACAATAAATATTACAAAGTGTGTGTTGCTTAATGTGAATTTGAACATTTTGACTTTTCTTCAACATACTGCTCCTAAGACATCTTAAAATCTGTATTATTTTTTTAAAAAGATAAATTAATAATAAACATAATAGTAAGACTTGGAGAATCTGAACATTATAGTCCATACAGTACCTCTCCTAGGTAAGTACCTATCATTCACATTATAACCATAACAGCTTTACGCTTTTTAAAGTAACAGCTTTGTTAGCTTCTAAGAATTTAATTTGTACATTCAACTCGTATATCATTGTTATGCTACTTAGTGTATTCTCATTCCCAATTTAGCACAAACTTTTAATAGTGCTCTTCTGAAAGCAAGTTCACAGTCTAAGCTGATGTGGGGCAGTTTCTCTTCATTGCCAAAACGTTTGCCTACCCAGGTCTAAAACTTATTTTTGTTTTCTTTTAAATGACAAACATCTCTCAAAATAATAAAAAATAATATTCAAAATGTATTGTTAAAAAAAAAGACTTCTGCCAATCAGGTGATAGTTTGGCGTTTAAATAAAATACATACTTAAAAGCAGTTGTAAGAGTTGATGATCACTACATTAAGTGGGAAAGAAGTCCTGTGTTTTGTACTGCACCTGCAAGATTCACGATTCACCTGGGTTAGTTTGTTCTTCATTAAGAATTCATAGGAATAAATAGTTCTAGCCAGTGCAGATAATCCTTCTTTCTTCCTTTATCTCAGCATATCTCGTCTCCGAAATTGCTTCCATAGATCTCTGAGATGTTCACTGGTTACAGTCATCACGCAAGAGTAATATTCCTTCCAACCATACTTTGGAGTCTCCTGTGAAAAGTGAGTAACATACAATTGGAAAAAGATATCATTCACTAAATTCCCTAATATTACATCAAATTTGACTCACACTCATACAAACTAGATACATGTTTTAATATTAAAATCATGAAAGATCAAATACTTCTATGGCTCAGAAGTACTTCTGTAAAATGAGGGTTATAAATCCATACACAGGTTAAATATTCAGAATGCATCCTCACCTCACAGCACACGGTTAGCATTCAACAAATAGCCTACGTATATTAAAAGCTGTAAGAAAGGATTTCCTCTTTATTCAGGTATGTACTGCTCGCTCTCTAGTTTTGTTTCTTGCTTCTTCATGTCGACACTGTACTAAAAAATTCACCTCTAACACCAAATAAAAAGCATAGAAAATTATTGATGTTCATGAAACTGAGGCATTAGCAAAAACCACATACAAAATAGGCAGATGCTATGAAAGCTTCTTTATACTAGGTTACCTTAATCCTAAACTGCACTGTAGTTCACTGACATTAATAAGTGCCCACTGAATGGAGAGAAATATCGTCCAAAGGCTGGCCTGGGAGATTCACTCTGTAGTTATCACTGGATGTCATTCTTTCTTCTGCTATTCCTAACTTCACAAGCCCGTTTTAATAGTAAGTACAGAAAGATGGAGAGGGGCTAAATATTACATCAACTGGGGAGAGAGGCTAAGTAAGGAACAGGAATTGTAATTGTAGATAAGTCAGAAGCACTTACAAGTAATTTTAAATTGTAATCCATCTTAGAAATTAAGTCCAGTATCTGGAGGTAAACGGTTACAGTGTCAAGGTGAGAGATTGTCTGATAGCTTGGTTTGCTTGAACTGAGTGAAGAAGTTAAAAATATTGCGACATGGCAGTATATTAAAACCAACCATTAGAGACTAAAGTCTACATTTCATTTATTCTTATTACTCATCTTGTATAATGAAAAAGCATAGAACATTATGCAGAAGTTGTAAATATTCAGAAAACAATCTAATCCACAGCAGTATATAATCAAGACTTTAAATGAAATATTAGAAACAATACTTACATGAATGCATAATTTAGTTGAGATTTATGGTCAATCTTATGAAAAAAAATGCATTACTTGCAAAATGCATTGCATTATTCAGAAAAGCACATTCAGTTGCTTAACCAGTGCTTTGAGATATGCATTTTTTATTTTATGAAACAGGTTCAGAGAAACGTTCATGAAAATCAGTAAAAGAAACACTGAGGTACATTAACTGTTCATCTACTTCTTTCTAACGTATGCATTGTTGTTGTATCTACTCTCAGTGTACCAAATCCACAGAAAGAACATTTTGTCCACATACTCTGCAATGCTTTCACATTTCACCGGAACATTTTCCTCCTGCCGTACCCAGGTTACGTTTTTAAGGTTCTAGTCAGTTTTAGGATCAAAAGTCTGGGTTCTGTAATTTCCAGTTACTTTTGTAAGATGAGTCAGTAAGGAGTGCCTATAACACACTTCCCACTTTATTTGCTTTAGACAAGAGGTAAGAAACAAGTCTCTTCAACTAGTAAGCAACAGCCTCTTCAGGTTTTTTTTTTAAGCTCTCTCTTATGATAGATGTATTCAACTGCTGTATAGTAGGGAAGTATGGAAATTAAAAGCTTTCAAAATATTAACTACATGACACATCTTAATGTTGCTTGACTGAATGAAGTATTTATAGAAGACAGCAATTTATTGTTGAAACATGACTAGCAATGAGGTTCTGAGTCCGACAGCCTCTTCAGGTTTTTTTTTTAAGCTCTCTCTTATGATAGATGTATTCAACTGCTGTATAGTAGGGAAGTATGGAAATTAAAAGCTTTCAAAATATTAACTACATGACACATCTTAATGTTGCTTGACTGAATGAAGTATTTATAGAAGACAGCAATTTATTGTTGAAACATGACTAGCAATGAGGTTCTGAGTCCATGCTTGAGTCTTTCACGTCTTTCTCAAAGTGAAATTTCCTTCCCCAATCAGTCTCAAGACTCTGTTTGTAGCTATTAACTATTACTTCCTAAAAACCTTTAATCAGAAATTTAGAAGCCCCACAAAATTCAGAACATCTAGAAAAGTTATTTTAATGCAAAAATCTTAAGATTTTCAAGAAATTACTGGGACTTAAAACTTATTTTCTAGATTTACAATTATGACATATAATATTTATTTTCAATACTTTAGAAGTGACCAAAATTGGAATTATAGCTTAAGTATCTACTACAGTTACTGAGCGCACAAAGAGTTTAGCAAACAGTACTTTCAGATGGAGTTGAATCCCTCCTGAAGTTGGCCTCTAGCATCCTTCTTCGGAAATTAACTTTGAAAGGGTTTCGTTAGAAATTTTCTAGATAATGCTTCCATAAGGCATTCGAGGCAGAGTTCTCCTCTCAGCTCTGTTAGGCAGTTCTCTGCTAACGTGGTTTTTTCTGTTCTCCCTGCAGTGTATGCAAAGGAGTACCTGCTGATGTGGAGTCAGGCTGTGTGCTCTAGCCTCTAGTATCCTTCTTCGGAAATTAACTTTGAAAGGGTTTCGTTAGAAATTTTCTAGATAATGCTTCCATAAGGCATTCGAGGCAGAGTTCTCCTCTCAGCTCTGTTAGGCAGTTCTCTGCTAACGTGGTTTTTTCTGTTCTCCCTGCAGTGTATGCAAAGGAGTACCTGCTGATGTGGAGTCAGGCTGTGTGCTCTGCAGGGAGAGCAATGCAGAAAGACAAGCTCTCCAAGAACACTGCCAGCTGTTTGGACCACACAGAGCTTGTACAGTTGTTCCCCAAGGAGAGATTTTAATTATTTATTATAAGGGTATAACATTCTTTACGCTGTTAAGTAAATTGCATTACTGCAATTTAGAGATACGCAATGTACAGCACAATGTGCTGTTTATCCCTTTTCAGGGTGCAGATTCGAAGTATGGTATAACCTAAGGTACGTCTGCCAAGCATCTTAATCTCTTTCATCAGAGTTTTACCACAGAGTTTACCACAGAAAGTATATCAAAGCACAGACAACGATCTGTACATTTATATTTGGAACAAAGTAAAATCAAGAGTTATTGTATTGCACCTAACTTTGGGATGTAATTGCAGCAGATTTTTGTATTTCACATACATTTATGTGGTTTTTTTGTACATCAGACAAATTTAATTACCCAATTGAAATTGTTCAATTTCACATAGCCAATGACTCTGTCTTTATTATCTTCTCAGTTTATAAACTAAATAGAAAATTATTATTTTTATCGCCAATGACCGTCTTTATTATCTTCTCAGTTTATAAACTAAATAGAAAATTATTATTTTTAGAATTATGTAAATTCACTTTCCCTCCACACTGTACGGCAAAGACAGAATTAGTTCTGTTCTCCTCCACAGTAACTAACTCCAAATCACTTCACATGTGTTTCGGCTGAAGTTTCCATTGCCGTTACCTGACACTTGCAACAAACTTTAATAAATATTTACAACAAATTTGAAGAAATACCGTAAGTTAAGTAACACTTTGCACAAAAAGGAACTCAGGATAGCTAACGACTGGATATGTTACTATAATTCATCACGAGACAAGGAGCAGTTGCTCAAGCAAAGAGCAGTAGCTGACTGATGTGCCTGCAGGGACGACGGAATTTTATATATTTGAGGTTTACAGTGCATTCTTGAGTGCACAGGGAACAGGTATCTGATACAGACCTTGGCAAGCTTAGGTACCAGAAGTGTTCTTGTTACAGCATCCAGGAGCTCCAAGTGGGAAGAAGAGCAGGGTAAATAAACAGCAACCTCTACACTATGTCAGTGAGGCTGCCTGTGGCCAGGTCAGTGCACTGAGAACTAACCTGGTTTCTCTGTCTGTCTCCCAGTGTGTAGTGTAGACATAGTATTATTCAACTTTAAATTTTTTTTCTTGAGAATGACTTTATACAGAGTGAACAAAATCTCGCTTTACAAATCTCCACTGTGTATTTTTCTCCCAGTTTACTCCCTCTCAAAAGATGAATGAATGAATTTATTGCCTGAATTCAGATCTCTGTCAAGGTGTCGATGTATGTAAACTTGATGCTTTTACCAGTGTCTCTCTTTTGTCACCAAGCTAATTTTATTAGGCTTGATGATTAGATATTGGATTCTTTTGTGTCACTGCATTTTGTTACACTTGGTCACATACCCTTCACTGAAATTATTAGGAAGGCATCATGACTGTATAGCATTTTGCCAGTTTCCTGTAAAAGCTGTTCTGTATCTTGAGAAGTTTACAGTTTAAACAATACTTGATATGCAACTACAAGGTAGGTTGTAGCAGAATTAGTGGGGACAAAAAGACAAAATACTCCTAAAATTATTATTAAAAAGGCATGGGAAAAGAAGAAAGGCAGTTTTGAGAGTCAAAAGTTTCAAAGAAATGAAGTTACATAAAATTAATCTAAAGCCATGAATTTCTTCTTATGTGACTGGTGAGTTGGATTACTAAAATATTGGTTTAACTATTTCATTAGTCATTTACATTTCCCAGTACACATTCCCACTTCCCAGAAACCAGATGCTTTGTTTGTTAAGACCAAATTTCCTTTTCTGTTCCTCATGCATTAGTACAATGCTTCAGTATTTGCGTTATAAAGCAGAAGTATAATTTTAAAAATGTTAATAATTAATCAAAATAATAAAGAAATAATCCTACGGATGCTAAATGTTATGTGTACGAGAAGAGTGTATGCAGACCAAATGGAACTCGTCTTCTTTCTAGGAGGACAAATCAGCTGCATAAGCCTGGACATGCCCCAAGCCATCTTTACTGCTGAATTTCAAAGAACCAGCCTGTTCAAAAGATGTGACACTTCATGGAAAAAAAAATGGCATGAAGAGTTCCAAAGAACACAGTTTGGGGTACATGACATGCTGTGCCATGGGAATAGGTCAATAGTTTAGATACACTCCCTCTCCCTTACCTATCTTGCACAGAGGTCTACAAAAGGAAAACATCAGTGGGACTGGTGAGCTGGTGGGCTACCAGTCTGGGTAAATGGACCCCACCTCTCATCCTTACAGACTTAGATTTTCCACTGTGCTGGAAGCCAGCTATCACCCCAGGTAAACAGGATCCAAGAAACTTCTGCTTAGTGTACCTACATTCCTCACTTTCCTGCCATGCCGTTTCAGAGTTAGGGAAGAAAGATTTAAACCAGAGGCCCAGCACGCTCAGTGGCATACAAGTGCTCAGAGAGGCATATGATAGGAAAGAGGAGGATTCAGAAGGTCAGATGCCAATATGCTGATATATGGAGGCATCTGAAGATGGTTATGCGACAAGAAGTCTCAGCTTAATATTGTGCCTCAGAATTAAAAACACCAAGGGAACGACAGTCAAACCCTTCTGGCTCAGAAGCATGAGATGTGCTGGCTACTCCACAAGGTCCACTCATGCCAGACCACTGGCCATGGGGCCTTGTTCGTCACGGTGTACATCTCTTTGTTCCTCCCCTCTGCAGAATAATACATCTGGGACCTACATAAGCTGTTAACAGCCTTCATAGCAACTACTGCAAAGTCTATAAATATAAACAGGAAAAAAGTGCTGGCACCAAAACCTTAAACTGCAAAGGAGCAAGCTCTTGCTTTATGTAAGAAAAGAAATATCTACTAACACATTTCCACTGTATCCATTGTGTGACAAACAGTTTCACAATATGGCTACAGAATATGCACACCTCAGTTTTTATACTGAAACCCACAGTACAATCTAATTGTAAGGACGGATATTCATGTAGTGGATACGCAGAAACAGCCATGGTGGTCACGTGTGGGCACAGTGCCAATTTTTGAAAATTGCTGGTATAGCATTAATCGAGCCAAAACCACATTATTGTTTTCAAAAGTCTAACTGTATAAATCGAAGTAGAATGAAGTTACTAACAGTCTCTCAGGAAGAAAAATCTGCCTCTACAATCCTCATTGGTAAATACTTATTAGCTATAGGTACCTGAGAAATTATTTGAAAAGTGGTCACAAGACAGACAGAAAACACCAACAGAAACTATGAAAGAATACTTTTCCTGATTTCAAACATAGTACAAAATAGCAGCTGGCTTACAAAACAGTGACAGTGCGACTCAGTCATTGCCAACTCCAGAATAAACTTCTATTGCTTCAGTCAAAAACACAACGTGACGCTTTGAGCTACTACATTGCTTACAGTCAGATAACCTATTCCTGAATTTTGGAACGGGAAACAAAGCAGTGACAGTTCAACATTCAGCCATTCCTGCAAGCACACCAGCACAGTCAGACTGGGCGGCTAACACATACCGTCATTTATCTGCTATAGAGTTCCTTCCTCACGCAGGATTTGAAAGTAGTATACCTCTGTATAGGTTTGTAGCCCTGTGGAGCAGAAAATGGAGAAGTGCGCAGATGCAGACAACATGTGAAGGCAGCCAGAGGTAAGCGTAAGACAACGGTATCATGAAAATACAAAAAAATGGCTTTAAGTGACGAATAGCTAGAAGATACAGTATAGTATGTGCTAGGTAAAATGTTTATCATTAAGTTCCAAATCTTTCAGTTTAAAAATGGAATTTATAAAGGAAAAGGAATCTTCTTATATATTTTTAAATTAAAAAAAAAAGAAAGGAAATAACTATTTAAAACCAAACAGCAAGCAAAAATAAAGCTTTTCATGTCTGCACATTTTAATAAGTTTATTGCAATACTCTGACTGACCGCTTGATGGCAGCTTAATACACTAGTTTGTTTCAAACTACTAAAACCAAAAAAAGTTTCAGATTATAATACTATATTCCAGAAAGAGAGAAATTTCATTTGATAAACTCTTTAAGACATTTACTTTTCCAAAAAAATATCTAAAATATATGTTAAAATGAATATTTATTATGTTCCTGTAAGGGGTAGCACCTGACCTTCCTCAAGTTTGTAAGTTTATGGCTAAGCTTTTAAATAGGACAAAGCTGGTAGGTACTGACTGCCCTTTCAGAACTCCAGTTTCATTGGACTTGTCTAACTCTTTGCTCTTAAATATGTTTGCTTTAGTCATACTATATAAATACAGAATGCCCTTTTCTAAAATACATGGCCCTAGTACCAAGCTCTGTGATGCCCTCAAGATTCTTCTGGGCATTCAACTTTGAAAAAAGTTGAATTACTAAGTATAAGATGTTAATTGTAAAATCATACTTCAAATCATAGGCCTATTTTAAACTGTTATTTTTAGACGTTTTTAGAGTGATAATCAGAGACTACATTGATTTGGGCAGACATTAATTGTAGGATACCTAACATTAAAATCAGGCATTTAGACTTTATGAACAGGTTCAAATTTCTTACGGCAAAAATTTCCATGTTGCTACAAAATACTGCATAAGCAGAAGCTATAATGTTCTTTTATCTGTATAATGGAACTGACCAAATCTTCATATGGATTTGAAACACAGTTATTAACAAAGAAAAGGTTAGTGATTTGTTAGTTTTGATTTAGCACAAGACAACATTTGAGCCCTCCACATTGTAGGAGCAAGAGGATAAACTTTTACTTGTTCTGGCCACACTAAATACTGTATAAATTTTAATGTACAAACAATAGGAAGCAATTAATGACGCTTTCTGCCAATTTGTTCTGGGCAAAAGGTTCTTAAGTGTTTTTTTCTCTTCATTCTAAACCAAGATTGGGGTGGCTGGGGGGTGTTTATTAAACTGAAAAGGCAAATTTTTGCAGAGTTTTTACTACTACCTACACTTGGAAACATCAGGTTTGTGTGACACTTACGAAAACTTACTGGAAATTGTAATTCCTAAGTTTGATACTGTAATTGTCTTGGAATACTTCTGATTAGAGAAGAGAATGCATTTTTCTGAATAATCTAACAAGTCTGCATGTAGGCATGTCTGAATATAACTGAATTATAGGACCAAATCATGATCATCTCCTATGCAATCCAGGAGATATATCTAATTAAAATTAGACACATCATTTATGAAAGACTGTGGTATTCTTCTGAACATCCTTGGCTATTCTTTATAGTTCATTTACAGTCCACTGGAATATTTTATAGTGGCCTAGGCAAAAGAAAGATACGTGCATAAGACTGAATAGTACTGGATGACTGATTCTTAAGGATTATATGTAATTTCTGTCATGCATTTTGTGAAATAGAAATGTGTAATACATTTACAAGAATTACTTAGTAAGCAGACTGTTTTCTGGTTGAATTAACATACACTGCACACTTACAATTAGTAAACAATTAAAACATATAGCTGAACATCTTGAAACGGTTATGAAACAATCATCATTCCCACACCATAATAAAAGGAATTGAGGACCAACAAGGAAGTAAGTTTGTTACAAATACAGTGGTTGTTATCCACATTTTACGTTTGATCATAATATTACAAAAATAACAAGAAAACAATTAGACTCAACACCACTTCACAGAGAGTTCTAAAATTATATTTAGGAAGCTAACTAAAAATGACTAAAATTATATTACAGAAATAACATACTGAAATGTGAATTTAGGAACCATAACACAGTTTAAGATTTATGTCTAAGGGATTAGGTTGTCAGTAAGAACAACATTTTACATTTAGTTAAAAATGTTAACACCTGTCATATGAAGAAAAAAAAAGATGACTTTTATTGATCATACTCTAATTAAAAATTTTTCTGTTACTATAAAATTCCCCTGTACTACACAGAACCTGAAGAGGGCAGCAAGGCCTATACGTTCACCTAAAAGGCAAAGCATGATTTACAAGCTTGTTCCCTATGAAAATTTTCTGCAAGTGATTTCCTGCCCTCTAGCTTCTCGTAATTTAATGTATTAGATACAGGGTTAAATTATCAAAGGCAACTTTGAACTAGAATATAGCATTGTTCAGCACCACTTAACTAACTCTTTACTTGAAAATTAAAACTATCTTCTGCTGCAACTCTTTCCAACAGTCATTATCAACACTTGGTATTTTAAATAATGTTTTAGAAGAGCCAATGGTTGACCTTTAACTAAACTGCCTGAGTTTGAGAGACAAAAACTCTCTTTTCCCTGGAAACAACCCAGACAAAATTGCTACCCTTGTTAAAATTCTTAATGCCAATCTGTCAATCACACAATACAGAGGAAATGACAGTATGCAGAGGACTTCTCATCTCCAATTTGGTTTGTGTACTATAAAGGTACATCATGTCCTCTATGTATTGCTTTCTAATAAAAAAATCAAGAATTTAAGAAGGAATTTATCTTACAGACTGCTTCAGGATTTCCGTAAAACATATGTCTTTAAACATACGCACTGTTGGTTTGCAACCTACTGGTGCTACAGGTGCTCAAGTAAGTACTGGTAAGTAGTGAAGTCAACTAAGATAACTATAAAAATTAGAATCCTTACCCTAAACCCTCGATTGAGTCTGTCTTTCATAATGCCGATAAATTCTTTATAACTCAACTGGTCATCTCTGTCAACGTCAAAAATCTTGAACACTGTGTTCACCAAATGTGGTGAAAGCTTCACACCTGTGGCTACATACACAGCACGTTTGAATTCATCTGCATAAAGAGAACATCAGTAGAAAAAATAAAATACATGAATTTAATCCTACTTTGTGGACAACATATTATGAAATACAAGTAAACTTTTAACTTGAGTTTTCACGTTAAAACACTCGATTAGGATTGAATTTCACAGTTCTAAACCAAGTAGTTCTGATATATCAACTGATATAAAATGACACTGCTTAATTGGTATCAATTATTTTACACAAAAGATAACAGTCCAAATACTATACTATGTGTAGTAACAAAATTAGAAAATCATATTATAATTAAACCTATGTTACATATATACTGATGGCATCTACTTAATTGACACAAAACAGAACCTAAGAAACAGAGCACAGAGAAAACAGTACGCTCCTTTGGTAAGGCCACATGAGGTAGGACTACGCTGGTGTTACTGTGTCAGACCCATGAAGATACTATTTGAGAGCACACAAATCTGACCACTTCACATATTCGTAACCTTGCACTCCCCAAGCATCTCAACTGTTGTATTAAGGATTTTAGTCAGTACACACCTGCCTAGTTTTTTCAGCACCCACTTACTGATTTGTTCAAAAATCTGTCTAATCCCTCTTCGGACCTTCTGACACTGTTTCCTTCTACAGCCTTCATAGAAGGCCAGATTCCAGACGCCCACTGTGTAAAGAAATGCTTTTGTTTGCTTTAAACTGATCTCTTACTGGTGTCATCAAGTACCTCCTAACTCTTGAATTTTAGGATTTGGTGACCAACTATTCTGCATTCAGCTTATCCACCACTTACATGACTTTGTAAAGCTTTATCATATCTCTCATGATATGACCGAGCCTTCTCCTCTCAAAGCTGGAGTCCTAGCCTTTTTAGCCTTTTACCTTAGACATTAAAACTACAAACTAGGAATTCCAAAACATTTTTGTATTTTTGTCAACAGTTCTGTATCTTTATCAACAGATTTTTATAAAAATGTAAATACTTACCTTGACCTATAGAACGACTTGCAAAATTATACATTTGCATTGCAATTGTAAAGTCTTCTAGGTTGTTCAAGAATTGGAAAAATGATCTAAACTCATCAAATGTGATACCCTAAAAAATAAAAGAACAATATGCACCATAAGAATTATCAGTAGTGATGACAACTGAATAAATAAACCTTGCAGTTACATATGTCTACTTCATTTAAGAATAGATACTACACCCATTGAAAAAAAATAGAGATTTGTACTGAAAGGCAATAAAGAATTGGAGTCTCCTGAGGAATGCAAGGTGTCTTTCCTCTTTGCCACTGCAACGGATAGCAATTCTCACCCAAAAAGCAGTCCAAAATATTGTTCCATTGTTTAAGGCAATCTTTAAGAATTCCAGGATTATTACAATACGGCAGTTAGTATTGAGAATAAGAGTCTAGGTTTGTATGAATACTGGAATATGTTTACTACTGAAAACCTGCAAACCACTATTATATATATGTGAGTGTGTGCGCTCACATAAATACATTGAATGAATTCATAAATACATGTTATGATCTAACTTAAGCTCTGTACTTTAAGGTGAAGTTTTTACTTATCCAGATTTAGACCCCTAGGTCTCTTCAGCTGATACTCCCAAGTATCAAGTATTGCAGGGTTTGTCCAGCTCTTTAAAAAAACCTTTTGCATTTTGACCAGACTTCAGAATATCTTCTGTGAAAGTTTCTCTGAAAGTGCTGTTGTTAAAAGAGCTTATTTTTTCTTCTTTCCTTATGATATCTGTTCTGCTTTTCTCTCATCTTAGCTACAAATCCAAAGACCCGATAAACTATCTCTAAATCAATTTTGAAAGAAACCTTAAACAGAGACTTTGAATTAAGCCAGGACCATTGCCTGTATCTCATTCTCCATGGTCTGTCAGCCATTCTGAACATGGGATGGCATTCTTTGTCAAACCTTGATCTCCCTGGCCTCCTTTAACTATCATTCCTGGCTATTCTTCTGTCTGCTTTCATCCTTTTATCCTATTTAACTATGTCTCTCTGAAAATAAACCTGAAGACAATAGAAAGACCTGTGAATCTTTCTGTTCAAACTAGTATCTTGACCTATGTCTCTCCTCAAAGATATACATAGTCATTATGGTATGGTGGAACACAGAAAACATACTGAAGTAGGTTTGTGGCAGAGGAGAAAATGGCAGAGGTTGGGCGTAAACCCATACGAGACAGCAAGTACTGTGGTGAATGTGGAGAGAAACATAATATTGTTAAAATAAAAGACTTCAATAGGCCTCCACCTACTTGAGATGTAAACTGCTGCTTAAGTGATCCTACCTAAGGTCTAGCTAAGATTTATAAACTGTTTGATTGGAGAGCTTGACCCATCTCCATAATGAATGGCTTTTCTCAACAAGCATATTTGTTCTCTGTTTCATCCTTTGCAACTGGGAGGAAACTCTCAAACACAAGCAGAACCACCTCCTTAATTCTCCTTTAAATTTTATCTTAAAAGCTTAATTTACTAATACTAACCAATACTGTCTTCTTGGTTCGTTGCATTTGACATCTAATTGTTTATGTCCAAGTTCTGTTTCCTGCACTCTGTTTAGGCTGAAAACTCTCTGGGACTGGCATAATTTTGTCACATATTTGTGAAATACCTAGATCGGTGAAACTTCAGTCCCCAACTAGGACCGTCAGGAACTACGGCAAAATAGCAATAATAGAAAATGGCCATCAAAGTCTTGAGCTGACATTTTTAGGTTCACAACGATTTTTAAAAATCCTTAATTTGCACCAATTTGTCTGTAAAGATTCTGAATGTGGGAGATACTGTAAGAGGTCAGGCTACTGCAAAAATCCTGGCTCTTTCCATGTAGCTAGAGAGGAGATGATCGCATTGTACTGTCTCTCTCCTCTCCTAGGACCATATTTTGTTCTCAACTGGTAACCGTAATAACAACGTGTATTTGCCATATGTTTTGCATTTTGACAGAGGAAGTTACCTACATGTAGATATCCCAGAAGCTTCCTACTGGAAACTATTTATTTTCTATGTAAAAGGAAACTGACTTTTTTATTTATTTGGACAGATTATATTTTACTACAGCAAAGAAAACTGTTATATTAATGCACCAACGCTGTTAAAAATGCATAGACTTTCTTTAGAAGCTGATATTTGTGCGTTCAGGATGCCAGCTTAAATGAATCACTGCTTGGCATCTAGTTAGTAAAAGGAGGAGAACATCCTGTGAGCAGGCAGCATGCCAGCTGAATATTTTAGCATGACTACAGTATGCCAAATGATCATCATGTTGCTTTAGAGGCTTCTACATACAGCGCCACAAAAGATTAACATTGCCAACTGTGAGAGTAGCTGCCTATTACTTTACAGGCTAGACTACTTTTTCTTCTAAATGGAATCCTCTGGTTTGTATTAGTATTGCAGCGTATCACTGTAATAAAATAGAGAGTACATTTGGTAATTTTCGAATTGTAATGTTATTGCAAGTGTAAAAAAGTGCAAACATATGAACAATGCCTCCATGGCAATAAGAGGCAAAGTCCCATTCTCAAAAGCCTGTGGCCAGTCCAAGAGATGTCACAGGGATTTACTTTTTCCACTGTACTGACAGCACATTTACAAAGCCAGTGATATGGACCTATGGAAAATGGCAATGTCTTGTTCTACTTAATGGAGGTATAGCATATGGCATACAGATATACGGCACTGGTCAAATGCCAGGATATTCCCAGAACGCAGCATAAGCAAACATGTAACTGAGTGACACAGCTTTCTACGTCGAAGTTTTCCTTAGCTGATGGTCCCATCAGAGATCAGAAGAGGAAACTACTGTGGAAGACTTGCTATCAGAACAATGGCATTGGAAGACTTAAGAGATGGAGAGATGAACTTCAAAGAATACTTCCTTGTGTTTAAAAGAAAGTGTCTGTATCTATATTTACTTAATCAACTTTACCTTTGCCATTCAAAGAAGTATTTCTCTATACCTATGACTGTCATTATTTTTCAGTTACCCAAGCGATACTTACATCATTGTTGTTATACATGCCCCAAAGTGATTTTTTTTCTTTTTCTCCGAGATTTCCATACATATGGAAATCTTGATCTCACCCTAAACAAAAAACATCTAGGAAACATGCAAAAGGAGCTTTTCTGTTGCACTGTCTTGGCTTTGAATATTGAAAGCTGCACAGACCTTTTAGAGTAGTTAGAACTGAGCGCCTCAGCAGCTAGACCGGGAACTTGGAAAGGGTCAGTGAGCAGGAACTCCGATCCCAATCTTACTGCTTCATCTTACACCTAATCTGGTGCAAAAGAGACAGCCCTGCTTTCCCTTTCCGCTCCCCAGCTATATTTATCTCTCAGTGGATCTAATTGCTGTACAACCACAGGAAGAATCAGATAATCCAGATATGTGAACAGAAAACTGTTGATTTTTGGAGTGTGTTTCTATCAGGTCAGCTGACTGATCTTACTCTGTAGACTGAAATTACAATGTAATTTCTCAAATAAAAAACCCAAAAAACCTGTCCAAACCTATTTATTACTTTTCTTCACAAGCTCTGCTGTCAATGCTATCAAATTATATAGCTATTGAAAGAGTTAGATTTCTAGGACAGATTAATCTGATCTCCTTCTGTAAACACAAATAGAAGGAGTACATCCAACACATCCCTTTATTTGAAGGGCTACTTTTAACGTTATCGTATCGATTGCCATTGATGCATAGTTGCCACTACATTTCTCTCAGATACACTTCTGACAACACATTTGTTGTTAAACAAATGAAGGACTACCTACCTCATGACATTTACTGTTTTTACTATCTTTTCTATCTCTTCAGCCATTAATAAGAACCACATACCCATCAATAACTATATACAAGTCATCCATTATTAAGACTATAAAACAACTAGATAAAGGGTGTCAATGTTATTTCTGAGGAGGTGCTATTCCATTGGCAGTGCAAAAGAGAAGAAAGAAAAAAAAAGGTGTTTTAATGCCTCGAAAGCTGTTCTTTGTCAAGTCTTATAGTTTTTGCTGTTTAAACTGAGTTTTCATGTAATATAAAGCTTTGTTATCTAAACTTCAAAAATATTACTAGCTAAATCTCATGGAATATAATTCTATGCTATTTACTCTTCTACTTTTTATTCAGCAAGTAATCTGAAAAACATGACACACAGTTTATGATCAGAATAAAATCCTGGTGCTAATTAATCCAGCGACAGAATCTCGTTCAGTTCAGGCTATGTTTTCATCTTGATGACACTGGGACTGGATACTGTGGCCCACTGCTGTCCTAGCAAAACAATCACCTTTTCTTCAGGAATCCTGCAGCGCATGTTTTCCAGGTAACTTGATGTATTTTCCACATTCGTATACCTCAAAAGAATATGGGCAAAGTCCTCCTCACTGATGGTGTTCATCCCGTTAGAGTAGGAAAGGAATTCTATCTCTAGAACCTCAGTTTGTAGGTTATCCATAAATCTAAAGCACAAACATAAATATGAAGAAATAGCAATACTTTATATTTCTACTATTCATGTCCTTAAAAGACTCATAGAATATAAAGCCAAATAGCATTATACAAATTAGTTCCCTTTTCGCAGCACTGATGGTAAATTTGGTAAATCCCTTATCTATGTTGACATATTTTCTAATCAATACAACAATCTTAACTCAAAGATGAAGTGATTTAGTAAGGATCAAAATGACAATACTTAAATTTCTAATTTACGTCTAGTTTGTGTTTGCTTAATTTTCTTCTTCAGTGGGTCACTGTTCTTAAGTTTTATATGCTAGACTGAAAATTCCATCATGGTACTAAATGAATTCCCAAAATTTATTCCCCATATAGTTACTCACAGATTGCGATTAAACGTTACCTTTCTCTTTTTAACAAGCTAAGTATGACAAGCTCTTGCAGCCTTTCAATTTAAACTTTTTTTTTTTAATACTTCACTATTCTTATGATATTTCTATAAACTCTTCCCAACTTAAGAACATATTTAGTATATTACGGACACCAAAACTGGATAAAGTAAAAACCAGCTATATATAAAAATGAAATATAACTTCCCTGATTCTGCTTGATGTCCTAGTTATACAACCAAGGGTGAAATTAGCTCTCTCGTCCCAGTAGTACGCTGGGAGCTCACGTTCATCTGATTGTCAACCACAACCTGTAACACTTCCCTGTTACAGATTCCTAAGAGTTCCCAACCTGTAGACATTGCATGTAACACTCCTTCCTAATATGTAACTTGACTTCTAAGAACTATGGGGAGCTCAAATCAAAAGGAAGTCTAGGCAAAAGTATAAGTGCAAGGTAAACATACAATAGTTATTTCCCTCACCAATCCGTAGTTTAATGATTTTTTGATGTCTGCTAGGTTTTGACCTCTTTAGAATTCACAACATCTTACAGCAATAGATAGACATTTTAACTAGATGCCTTTTGAAAAAGTAACTTCTTTTCTGGTTCTTGTTTTGAACTCACATCATGATTTCACTTGATGACGCAGTTTTTGTATTATGTGAAATATTGAATATTTTTCATGACACACAATTTTAAGGCAATATATTTTGCAAACATCTGATGGATTAGAATGCACAGTTAAGTGATAACTATAAAGACAATAGGTATTGGGAGTATTTACTGTGGAAACAATAACCAAACACTGTATCTTTTTCAATCACCCAGAAACATACAGTTTTATGGCTCTGTTTTTATGGCACTCTCCCTATGTTTTTAAATTCTATTTTAACTGGCATAATAATTATGCCAACAGCTTCCACTGTGTTTTCACTTTTTCCCAGATAAAGCTTGTTCTAAGAAAAATATCTTCAGAAAAATCTTTACATTTAAGTACATGCCTAAGAGCAGAGATGCACACCAAGCTTTTTTAAAGCACTGACAAACAGGGGAAAAAAATAAAAATAATTCAAAACCAAGAAAAAAATTCCTATGTACCAATAAGGACAGGGTTGCGGTCTAACCTCTCCACCCCAAACAAACTACGCACACAAGTGCTAACAAAATTTGCAAATGCAGCAGCATTAGTACAGGACTTTTTATTGTTGCTCCACTTACTGTTTTATTTTGCTCTTTGTATATATAACACACACAAAGGGAACGTAAACTTTATATACGTCTGCATAAACTATGTGTATAGTAAGATAATACCAATTAATTAGAACAAGCATGCAAGTATTTTTTTTACAAGGAATTAATAAAGTTGAGACTCACCTATAAAAATCTTCAAAGTTCAGTTCAGCTTTCCCTTTCTTGCCGAAAAAGTGTACAAGCAGCGTAGTATCTGACAGAGAACTTGAAATATCATCAGCACGCTTAAATATTAGAATAAAAAAAAATTAAAGGCCATGATTGAATCAGTTACAGAAGTATAATCTGAGAATGCCTATCATCACAATAGACCCTTCTATTAAAAGAGTTTGTGTTTTATGTTCACAGTCTTAAAGGAGAAGCTAGTATTAAAATCCATTAATTTAGTCATGCAATTTTCACACAAAATAGCATTAGGCTGTTAATTGCATTTAGTAGAAAACACTTAAAACAACAAAAAAATATAATGGAAGCTGCAATGAAGGGGGAAAAAGCATGAAAAATAAAACCAGAAACTCTTGAGAAAAAAAAAATGTTCTAGTCAGTTGAGGTAAACCATAAAAATAACTCCCTTTGTACACAATCTCTTTTCCCTTCTACTATGCAACGACAAAGAAATTAAAGGAAGTTACTTCATATATTCTTATTCTATATTTCAAAATTATTAAGTATGGGATTGTATTCCAAAACCACTCACATCAGTCAGGTGTACTTTATATGATTCTTTTCTATAAGTAGCAGATGACTACAGTTTATATTTTATTGCCCAAATGTATTTAAAACAACAGAATTGTACGAAATTTTGAAATCATGAAGTAATACCTTGACTCATTCTCTTAAGAATGTTCCTCATCTACCCAGTATGTGGTCTCTGCATCAGACAGGAATCTTTGAACGTGTACTAATACTTTTTCCTTAATAACTAACTATGAACTTTGAAGGCACAGAATTAGAATAGTAAACCCAACTAATTCTGACCATTTGTAATAGCAAGAATTGTAAATAGGAAGACATGCATATAAACAGAAGTAACTATCATCTGTGTATAGTGATTGTGCAACATTCCACGTTTTTACTACATATTCATTACCCTTAACTCTCGTGTATGTGCATTGATTTTATCTCTTTTACAAAGAAACTCCTGATATACTGAAGAGCTAGAAAAATAATTCAGTAATATAAGGCTCTTAAATAAGCCATAGTATTCCACCACGGCAACATCCTTCTGGCATTAATGTGCATCTGCCAACATTTGAAATTCAAAAAGTAAAATATTTAGTCTCCTTGCTGCACCTGCCTAGGGAGAACCTTCTGTCCGAGCTTTCATTTTTCTTACAAAGACAAGATCTTATGAAAAGCAAAGAGTGGGAGCCAGTGGTTTCTGCTCTTCCTAGGCACCTATCAGCAACACCGTATTTTTATGGAAGTGTGCCTGCCGACTCTACTGTTAAAGTACAAAACAGAATACACAGTAGAGAAACCTAGTAAGTATTTGGGAGATGTAACAGTACTAATTTATCACCATAATGATACATTATAAACCTATGGGATTTACTGTAAGTATAGAAAAATGTTTATACAGATCTATAAAGATCTGCATATACAAACCTGCAAGCTGCACTCAGAGTCCTTTAAGTCTGACTTTACTTCTTAACTGAAGAGGCTATAAATTTATAACAGATGGAGAAACTCTAAATGAAGAACCTCAGAAGAAATTTTGAACAGTATGCAGTAGTTCAACATCATGTACCATGAAAAACCATTTCATATCTACATTCTCTGAAATATACTATATTAATTTCAAATTTACATACCGATTTGTAAAAAAAAGTAAAATGCAATATCCATTAAGAGTATTTATGTATCAACAACAAGGGAAAACGTGAGGCAGTAACAACACAAATCCTTTCCTTTCAACATCCAAGAACTAAAGAAACGAGAGAGACTTTTCTGTACTTTGGTATAATCAGTTTAGAATTCTCAAGATTGTATTTCATGTACTCTAGCTTCCTCTTTATTCTCATATTCTTCTCCAGGGAGAAATAAGATGACATAGTGTATATATAGGTAGAGAGATATTTCATGTCCTTCAATTAAGACAGCTCTGCTCTTCGAGCGAGCAAACTAATTCAGAAAAGTAATCACTATTTGTCTTTTAATATTGTTATCCTCCACTACAGGACACAATATACTGAAATGCAGATACCCTGATTTCTTATGTCTTTTAAGCAATTAAATCCCTAAGCACATTCAAACAATTTCCCTCAAGTACACTGAAAAGATATCAAATGTTAAATTACAGCCTTTCATCTTGCAAAAACATTTCAAAACCTTAGACTTAGGTTGCATTCATCCATATCTAAAGAACCATTTAAAAAAATACAATCTGTAAGTCTTTTCACAATTCCCATTTGGTCAGCCTCACTAAATGAAAAAACCCCAAACAAAAACCTCACCCCAGAAACTCAACCCAGTATGCTTCTCTGCAGAATTGCAGGCAACTGAAAACTATTCCTGTGCTCCTTCTGCACTGAGAGCATTATATAAATTCTCTCTCTTAAGGGGTAAGTGTAAAAACAAAAGCCTTAATAATTTAAAACTATTATTTATTGTTCATAATAAAATGAATTTTGTATTTTAGATCGGTGAAAATGCAACGACCTCACCTGTCACCTGTTTCACAAATATGAGACTCTATTTTGATCTAATACATTTTGAAGTTTGAAGTATATACAAATATGAGACTCTATTTTGATCTAATACATTTTGAAGTCTTTTAAATGAGAATAAAAACCTGCCTCGCTTCTCTTTACCTTTACACTAACTGCAATACAAATACAGGTAAAGAGACAAACAGGAGAGACAAGTGTTTCAGTCACATTATTGGCTTGCTGCATAATGCCAACACCTTTTCCTCTCAATTTCCTAACCTGAAGAGCAGTAAATCTATTTTTTTATATTCTGCAGAATTCATTTCAAGCTTTTGATTAAAGAGGGTCAACTAAGTTAAACTCGTGAGCGATGGTCCACTTGTAGCAACATATTCTGAGAATGAAGTATGCATATTATGCTTTGAGTTAGTAAAAGCTTTCTTACTGCAAGTCCTTGATTTTTCAATAGTGATAATAACCCTACTGATTTCCAGTTTCATTTAGTAATTTAAGAATAAACCCACAAACGGAACTCAGTGGTAAATGGCATATTCCAACAGGATGGTGGAGTTGCTTTAAATTAGGAATAGCAGAAACAATACTGTAAACTGTCCTAGAAAGAAACCGGATGAGATCAATAACTTCTTTTCACCCCCAAAGAGACCTTGTAAGTTGATTCTCGTAACAATGAGCCTTATTTACTCTCCTTTTCAACTTACACAAGGCCTTCTCAAAAGGCTATGAAACAACACAGACTCTAGTGTCACCTAGCTTTATGCCACTTTCTTAGTACAGATGGCTGTAATATCATTCAGATGTGAGAGTACCTGGGAGAGATAAGCATATGTATGAAAGCCAGCCGGCTCAAACTTAAACCAAGCAAGATAAAGATGATTATGGTGAGAAGTGGGAAATTCTCAGTGGAGCAAATGAAGGATATACAATTTTTTTCATAAAATGAATTAAAAGTGAGCAGAGAGACTTTTTATACATTTTACAGACAACTTAAGTCAATGTTTAATATAGCTGCTTCAATTACATTGTCGGTTACAGATACTAGCCTGAGGCATCAGACGTAAAAATCTCTCTTCAAATTGAAGGCATGTAGACATTACCAAACTTAAGTCCATCTATACTTAGGACTGAATTCATGCCAACTAACTGTAGATTAAGATGACAGTTAATTTGGAAAACTCAGTGCCCCAAGCTCCTTAAATAGTCAATGAAAAGAGCAGTCCTCTCTCCCTTCTGTGTCTCCCTTAGCTGACTAGACAGGAACACTGATGTTCTGGGCTTTAAAATTTGGTGGAATAAATAAGGACTAGTAACTGGACTAACAGCTCAAGAGCTCATCAGTTTAAAAGCAAAGAAAGAAAGGCTGGGTATACTGCTTTATTGCAGGATTACTATGAATGTATTATGACTATGAATATTGCTATAAATACTGGTCCAAAACTCAGTTCTGTAACGCTACATTTTGTTTTGTTCAAGGCAAATGAACTCAAGCTGACAGAGGTACAGAGAAGGCCTATTTGATACCTGGGAAATGTAGGTTCTACCTTAAGAGAAAAATCAAAGACCTTGTTTTGTTTAGCCTACGATAATTAAAACTGTGGGCTATGACTGCATTTATAAACACAACCATGAGTCAGAAGATTAACACTAAAGAAGACAAAGCCCTACGAAAATTAAGGGACAACAGACTGGTATAAAGGGACTATGAGTAAATTTAGCCTGGATATTAGAAAAAGTCCATCTAAGTCCCCAGATTATTCAATAGCTTCTGCAGAGGAACAGCAGGGACAAAACACTAATTACTTTTAATGTGGAACACACATTGCTTATGAAGCAAAGAAAAAGATTGTTTTACCCTGGAGGTCCGTTTCAGTTCCATGTTCTTTTCTCATTATGATCCTGCTTATGAAGCATGGGACTTGAGACCAGAGAGTCAATGGGGAGTTGCTGTATGTCCTTTAATGCCACAACCAGCAGAGCAATCACCCTCACTGTATGGGGCACAGAATAGCCTAAATGATCTAGTTTTCTAACCCTCTTAAATGATCAGTACAAATAAATGTCGTTCTCAATTGTCTGAAAGCATATCGTGAAACAAGAATCTGATTAGAATTTAAAGAACTATGGAAATTAATTTTGACAGCACAGTGATATTGCTAGTCCTCCATAATGATTGTGTAATATTCAAAATGTCTGTTTTGGTTACCTTAAAACATTTCTGGTTCAATCAAACAATTAAAACAATCTTTCGCGACACTTTTTCTGAAGATAAGCTTTGATAACATACAGAAAAAGCACATTAAGAACCTAAACGTTAAAAGCTTAAAGAGCTGCAACTCTCATTAAAGTTGTCACATCACTAGACCAAGTCTAAATGACATAGGTTTCCTGAATTATTTCTTTTACTGTGAAATATTATCACTGTTAGTGTCAGAAAATGTTTTTTACAATAAAGACTGAAAAGGACTCGATCTTCCAACTCTTTCAAAAGGTAACTTTGCTTTTACTTGGAAATGACGACTTTGAATTGTCACACTGCATAGAACCAAATCAATTTCATCCGAGAACTTTCAGGTTTAAAAAAAAAATAATTAAAAGAAGAAAAGAAACAAAGTGCATAAAATAGGAAAACAAACAAAACAGAAATGAATAAAATAGCAGTCTGTTTATGGACCAGAGACAGAGGTTGTCTTATACCTCCGCAAGGTCCGAAAAGAGTGCTTGGCTTGTGCTACGTCTCAAAGTATCCCAATAGCTTCTGGGGACAAGGTCCTCTCCTTCTGTTTTAAGAACCTGCAGAAGTTTCAAGAAGCACAATTGTTTGAAAACCAAAGAACAATAAAACAACTGCTTACAGACTTTAAAATCTTTTCCAACTGATCTTCAAAAGCATGGCTTGATTCTTTTGCTTCTACACAGAGAAATCTCTACCCAGTTACATGACATTTTGTAAATCAAAGGAACACTAGTCTATTACAGCTATTTGCTTATTACTCATAACTTGGCTGTGCCAAAAGTATCACCAGACTCCGCTCTCCCAAACAAAATAATTTAGAGAAAATATTTATTAAAAGTATACGTGAAAATGTCCTCTAAACCCAGTATTTTGCTGTTGTTTTTCGCAACAACTTTTTTTCCAAAAAATATTAATTTATATTCTTATGATATGAAATTTGTTTTCCCGTTGGTCAAATATAAATGCTACCATCTAAGTAGTTATATAAAATTAATTTCATCCCATTATCGGGATGACATCCTTGCAACAATAAAGAAAAGCAAAAAATAAGCCTAGTAAGTCCAACTTCAACTGTAATATACTTATCAAGAGAACACTATGCACATCTGATGATCAAACTTACCTTGTTTAAATAGAAAATAAGCATTTAATCTCTCCAAGGAAAATACGCTTACCTTTTTGCTCTGAAATGTTTCATATATGGAAGCCTGAAAAATCCTCGCTTATTAAAATAGGCCTTCCTTTATCTTGCAATTAGTCTTGGAAGATCTACCTAATACATTCCCCCGGCCCCGCCCCCAAAGAATCTAGGGGAGGTGATCATAAAGACAGCAGAAGACTATCTGAACTCGGTTAGGGTTACTGCAACTGAATGAATTTTCCCCTTTCTCTCCAGAAGTCAATGTAAACTAGGTCTTCTACTTTCAGGGCTTCCCACTCATGTCCATCTGGGCACGCAAGACAAAGACAGAATGAGTTTAGTCTTCTAATTACAAACAAAAACCATTTTTTTTTTTGAGTCAGCACATACTATTCTCTTAGACGATTTACACTGATGTGACTGCTGTGTAATGATGTGTAAAACCACATTGTTATCATAAAGAATACTGTACCGAGCTGAAGTTTTATTGTCTCTATGTATTCCACATTATGTCAATCATAGAAATGTAAATTTAATTCTTTAAACAGTTGAAATATAGTATGATTTCTATTTTTCTGTTTTCCCTTAATGTTCTTTAGCACAGTATCTCCTCAGGTAACAGGTCTTCAATATGCTTGCAGTACGTCCAGCAGTGATACACAGTTACATGAGTGAAGATATTATTTAAGGGCTCTTATCAATGTAATGGGGCTCAGTGCTTATGGGACCGTCTTGTATTGATTTGCTTCAGCTATATTTTACATGTTTATAAAAATGCACCTGTATATGAATGATTACGTAAATTTGCATCGTATACAAATAATGCTTTTAGTACTACAGAAACAATATTTCAGCAGTAAGTCAATATGTAATTAAAAAAAAAAAGATAAAAATGCATTAAGATATTTAATATGAAATGTGTCTGGCTGCAGAACACCGCAACGTATTTGCTGGGAGGAAATATGCTAAATAATCTAAAATTTTTTGCAACTTGTGTACCGCTTCTACAAGTTCTATCACGTACTTTCTCCACTAACCAATTCAACTCAGCTCTTTCTGTAAATTGTCATCAAAGAAACATGACAAACTATCAGGAATTATACCCA